ATTACACGAGATTCTTCACCAAGGAATAAATATGCACATAATCTGAACATGGTAAAGGAAAAAAAGTTTACATAATCACCACAGTAGAGGAGAACCATGTATCACATTCTCCATAAGGTAACATAAGAAATAAATTGACAAAAAATTACACAGATTACCTCTGCAACAAACAGCCATACAAGATTTATGACATCAACTAAAATAACACATAGCTACATTTTTCACCATTTTCTCCACTAGAACACAGTATAGACATATTATATCCAAGGATTGCTCTGACCCATTGTCTCACCAGTATGTTTGGCCTTGTAACTTTCCAGTGTAGATGCCAAAGGATAGCCCAGGTCTCTCACTAAGGAAAAGTAAGCTCTCATGTGCACAGGTGGATTTTCTTGTTTATGTATATCTACATCTATATCATCTAATCAAATACTTAATTACTGCCCTTTATTCCAACATACCAGAAACAGAACATAAAGTCTAATATAGAGAAGCTATACTCTGACAAATATCTAAGCATAGTGCCTTCTTACCTCTATCCACTAGTTCTTTAATAATGTCTTGTTATCCCCATTCTCCATGACACCCCCCCAACCCATACATGCTTACTAGTCAGAAAACCTGCATACTACCCAGCATTTTGATTTTACCACCTTCCACTTCTGTTTCTCAGTTATTTAAGGAGCCAGTATGACCAAACCTTTCTCAAACCTGCCAACATCTTGATTTGTATGTGTAGTCTACCGGAACCTCACAATAGATTTTCCACCTACTGAAAAGCAACTTGGTAATAGTGGAAGACTACTAACTTGAGAAAAAGACTATTTAAGTCAGCCTTTTTGTGTCTAAATTTTCCTTACAAGAAAGATGTAAAGTTTATTTAATTAATAGAGATGGTCAAAAAATGGGAGTTATTTTTCACACAATTTTTTTGTAAGATATGCTCCTTTTTTATTTGAATTTTCAAAAATTGGAAGGGTTTGACTCCTCATAAAATGATTTTCTATAATGGTTACAGAGTGCTTTGAGATCTTTCTGTACAAAGAAGTATAAATATAAATATTGCTTATTTCTATTTTTCAACCAAAAAATAAAACCTCAGAAAATAAAAAAACCTTTTTTGCAGAGCCAAGAAAAACTAAAAATCTAGCAGCTGATGGTACCATTTGTGCTCAACAAATTCCAACTAAAACAATCTCCTTTCCAAAAGTAGGGATGCTTATCTGAACTACTTTGGTCTGAAAACTGAAATGGAAATCTTCCAAAAAAGTTAAGCTTTCTTATGATATTCAAATAGTACTTGGTTTCTGCTGGTTAAGAATATCACACAGGTTTTATTGTTATATTTTTGCCCTCCTACATCTAGACATATCCAGGAAGTGCAGAGATGCAAAAGAAAAAAAAAACTATTTTTTTCCCATTTTTAAAATTGGTTTTGTTTTCAGACTTAGGTGAAAGTTCAGGCTGGTTCTTATTTAATCCAAACCCATTCCTCAGAAATAACAGAACTAAGAATAAGAAACGATAGATACAAAATTATTGATGTATATTCTGCTTTCATAATATGGTCAGGCCACAAAGGTGATTTCTAAAATATTTTAGTGATATAGGAAGTGGCAATGAATATTCAGGAAATGCTGCTCTTTGTCCTTAAATCATGTGATGTTATTTAGATGCAGTAACAAGGAAGAATAGTATTTGCAGAGCTGCTTTTCTTCAGATGAGATATAAAATGACTCTTAATAATTTAATCTATGTCTACACAGCAGTGTTATTCTGAAATAACATAGTGCCCATCTACACTACAAACATTTATTTAGAAATAATGGCAAGCTGGAGGACTTCTTACTCCAACTCCTGTAACTCTCATTTTACGAGGAGTAAGGGAAGTTGGAGGAAAAGTGTTCTTCCTTCGACTTCCTGCTATATAGACAGTGCCAAAAGCCAAAGTAAGCTATTTTGACCTAAGCCATGCAATTGACATAGCTCAAGTTATGTAGTTTATTTCGGCTTTACATATCTCTGCTATGTAGACATGCTCTTATGGTCATAAGAAATCCCATGTTTGCACACAGCCACTGGCAGTGAAGAGCACTTTCTCTTCATTTCTTGTTTTCATCACAATGATGATCAGACGTCCCTGCAAAAATGTTCTCTTCTAGAGAAACTGAATGTAAGGAACCTCACAGATGAATGCAGCATCCCCACATCTTCCTGGTCTCTGACTGACTCTCAAGCTGAGAGAAGGATATTAGTATACAAGCAGCAAAGAGGGGCAGTGGAGAACAGACACAACTCCTAGGTTTGTACCCCTTGCAAAAGTCCTATTGTCCAATCAGATGCTAGCAAGCAGGAATACAGCTAACCAATTGTTCCTGTAAGCCACTCATGTTCAACAAATGGGCCCCCCAACAGCCTTCTCCAGTTACACCTCCCCTCTCCCAGACCTCTGAAGTAACCAGCAAATGGAGCACTTAGAAAAAAGGGGTGATGATCAATGTTCCCTCTAATCTTTTTCATCCATGTACGGATTTTTTATACATGTGTGGAACACATTTTATGTGCACCTAATGCCAGTAGAAACACAAAACCTAACTGTGGGCTCTGCTAATCAGCTGAGCAGCATTTGAATCTCTCCTGAATGGCCACAGAAGCTCTCAGTCTACAGGGAACACTGATAGTGATGGGAGAGTAATAAAGAGAAAGTCAATGTGGAAGAATTTCCAAGGTAAAGGAGATGGCGTGGGCAGAAACCAAGTTGAAATTGGAAGGAGTTCAGATGCTGATTCTGGGTTAGGAAATTACAGTGTGCTGGATTAGGAAAGGGTGATCACAGAGAGATGGAGTCTAGTTTGTGGTGAGTAGAACTTCTTGTCTGGGGATTATGGATTTAGAGGCTGCATGGAGGACTAGGGTATTTGCAGGACAGTAAATAGAGCCAAAGGAAGCTTGATAAGTGTATGATAGCAGTCAAATGGATACCAATTCCTATGGCTTATATTTTCCCTATTGTCCTTGCCAAACTCCCATTTAGGTACATTCTATCTATGGGAATTCCTCCTGTATTTCTACTCAGGTAAGGTATATGTCACTTCCAAGACTGAACTGCTGTGTCATGTTGCAGTGCACTATTTAACAGCTATTGTTTTTCAGCAGGGACTGCATTTTAGTGATGGATGAGCATCTGCCTGTATATAAGGCATGATCCTGCAAGGTGCTTAGCCATTGTCTGGAAGTGTTCAGTACCTTGCAAGAATGGGTTCAACCTTTGCAAAGTACTTTGGAATTCTCGGTGAAATATAAGCTCAAATTATGATTAATAAATAATAATAATAATAATAATAAATGTATCTTGATGCTGACATGTATTGTTACATCCTAGAGGAAAAAAAAAAAACCTCTGACACTGAGGCATCTGGTTATTTATTGTGGAGCCTTCACTACCCAGACTTTTGCTTAATTGCTGCTTTTCTTTCATTTGGAACGTTACATGCATACAGGAGTCAGAGTAGCTACATAGTAATTGAAGCATAGGTAGCACGTGAAAAATACAAAGTGCCTGCTTTTTCCTCTGTGTTACAGTATCTATCCCCTCCTAGTGATAACACATTCTTTTCTTTCAGGCTCTCTTTAGCATTTAAGCACAGAATTCATTGGTAGAGGGAAGCAAGTGGGTAAGTCACTTTGACAGGCAGCTGAAGTGGTGACTCAGCATCTGCGCCAAAACTGTAGCTGTATACGGAGGCAAATGCCCTGATTAACTATTCAAATTATTTTCTGGTAGCTCTGGGCATCTAGTATATGTTATATTCTTTCCTCTGAATGTTTCTGTCTTAGTAACTGCATCTATTTATATTTTTGTCTACCCATAATTTTGCATATAGATCTTTAGATGGATATTCACAGATTAAAGTAATGATGAACAAAACTCCATCTCCCCCTACTTTGGTATTCTGTGACATTCTCATCTCAGCAGACTGTGTCTGGCGTCGCACAATGAAGCACTGCATGTGTCAGGGAGATGGATTATATCTGCAGTGTCTGAATTTCAACTCTGCCTATACGAGCTCCTGTTTAACCTTACCTCAGGGATACTGGATTTTGTGTCATTGAATTAGAACAGAAAAAAAATCCTGCTTATACCATGTTTCTAGTGTTTAATATAGTACAAAATAACAAAAAAAGAACTATATATATAATATATTGTGATTCTTATGTGGAGTACACTATCTTTATCCTTGATACTAGACTGTAAAGCTCTTTAAGTCTAAGAAATGAACTGTGCTGCATGCTCTGCCTGTTGTTTTTAATGCTTTCTTTAATTCATTTTCAATGTCTCTAAATAGGTCAAATGGAAAAGAGAAATAAATGGATTAATGCACCACTCTTTCACTAACAGAAGCATATGAATAAATTCTTATAGGTCCATGGTGAAATAATTGATTAGTCTCAACTGCTATCAGACACGTTCCTAAATATGAGTGTGCAAATTACTGTTTTAGCTGCAATCCAGAGCTAATCTGTATTAAATGATGTTGACAATATATAACACTCCAGTCAAGTCTCAGATACTGATGGGATGGTGCTGACAAACTCACACCAACAGGACACACATTGTTACTTACTGTGTTAATAACTATGAAACTTATATCTTCGTTGTCATAAATCTGGGTTGGACAATGAGAAAAATAGATAATTGAGGTATTTAGGATTAAATTCTACAGTTTCTATAGGCATTTCCATAGGGAATCAAATTCATACTTTGCGTAACTTCATTATGTCAAATTAATTTGCTCCATTTGTAAATTATTAACCTAAATATTGCCTCATAAACCCTCAAGTCTTTACAATAAAATCTATTAAGTGTTGATTGCTGTGAATATACTTACAGTGGCAAGGTCAGGGTTCGGGGCGTGCCCTTAGCCCCCCCTCTTGTTCTGCCTCTGTCCCCCTTTGGTCACTTTTGTGTGCCCCATCCCCCAGTCACTGCAAGTTTGTACCTGGTTGTGAGTAGCAGTCTGGGCTCCTTCGAATCCTCCTCCCATCTGACTCCTTTGCCTTGGTCGTGGAAACTCCATCTCAGTCCTGTCTGCCCCTCCATGCTGGATGCTTTCTCTGGGCTTCCTGTGGGAGATAGCACAACCAGCCCCTGCTCTCCAGTGCCCCCTCCCTTTTGAACTCCTCGCGTTGCACTGCCCGGCATCTCCACTCTGAGGACATCTGGTGGCCTCAGGGTTCAAGGGCCATTGCACTCAGAGAGGAGCACTTCTGCACATGTGCAGCAGGCTCAGCGTCTGCCAGCCTGTGCGCACCAAAAAGCCCCTCTCGAGTGGCCAACGGTGCAGGGGTCTGAACCCCCCACCACACACCTCCCTCCTTAGTGACCCGCTATTCTCTACATCCCCCCTCCCATTTACACACCGAGACAGGAAATCTGCTTTCCCATGAGTCAGCCCCGGCCTATGCAAAACTTGAAATGTATATTGTTGTAAAAATAAATGCCACCTCATTATGCGTGGGATGGTCTCTTTCATGGTTTGGATCCACTTTAACGGTGCATGGTTGGTTACAACTGGAAGGAATTCCCCAGCAGGAAGTACCAGAGGGATTCTACTGCCCATTTGACCGCTAAAGCTTCCTTTTCTATAGTGGAATAGAGCTGTTCCCATGGCATTAGTTTGTGGCTTATATATAAAACGGAGTGCTCCCTCCCCCTTGTTCCTGGGATAACACGGCTCCACCATTCGCTTCGTGACTCCCAGATCACCCCCATCTGCATCATCTTTTGGATTTCCTCCTGCACTGGGTCCCACAGTTTCCTTGGTAAGGGTTGGAGGGGTTCACATACCTTTTGTCCAGGAGCCATTTTAATATGGTGGTTCAGAAGGGGTGTCGTCCCCGGTTGTGTCGAGAGGACAGTTGTAAATTTCTGTAGAAGGGCTCTCACCTCCTCCTTCTTCTGGGCTGTCAGGTCTGCTTCTTGGGAGACCTCTCCCAGTGCCTGCAGGCCCCCTCCCCTTTGTCCTAGTTTGGGCTCGGAAGGTTGTAGTGTTATCAACATGTCCTCTCGCGGCTTCCATTTTTAAAATAAATTCACATGGTAGATCTGTGTGTTTTTCTGTCTACCTGTTAATTTAATTTTGTAGTCCATGGGTCCCACCTGTCTGAGGACCTCATATGGGCCTTGCCATTTTGCCATCAGCTTTGATTCGGTGGAGGGTAAGACTTTATCTCCCAGTGCAAATGTACAGAGTTTCATACCCCAGTTATAATATTGGGCCCATAACAGGTTTCCTTTAGCTAACTCTCCCACCACCCGCAACTTTTTTCTGAGATCCAGGATGTACGGGATCATCCCTTTTACCTGCGAATCTTGCCCCTTCCAATTAGTAGATCCAGGATTTCCTGGGGCTGTCTCCCATATAATAACTCAAAGGGGGAGAAGCCAGTGGATGCTTCAGATACTTCCCTAACTGCAAACAGGAGGGCAGGTAGAAAGATGTCCCAGTCTCTCGGATCTATGCCCACACATTTTCTTAACATAGCCTGTAAGGTTCTATTAACCTCAGAAGGCAGGGCTGTTGCTGCACAGCTGTTACCACCCTAGCTCCTGAGTGAGAGGCCTGTCCATTAGGACTCAGACCTTTCAGCTGCAGGTGTTGCCTGCAGCCATTATCAGGGGCGGCCTTAAAGCCAGGAGGCCGCCCCTGGCGGCGGGCTGCTGCCAGCGGGCCGCCCTGAAAGGGCAGTCCAAAGGGGGCTGCCCTTTTGGGGGAGCCCTTCGGATGTGGACTAAGGGCAAAGGTGTGTGCTGTTATGGTAGATTATAATTGAGTGTGTGTTTATGTGTGTTTGTGTGTGCAGCACACTTGGTTGTGTGGTGGCCTATTCAGTCCCTGGTGAGAGTAGGGAGAGGGAGGGCAGGCGAGGGTTCTTGGTGAGAGGAAATTCCCTTTAGCTACCCAAACTGAAGGTGTGTGTTTGTTCTGCTCCCCACCTATGTGATTTGGCACAGATGGAGTGCCTAAGGAGGAGGGCTCAGATGGCATCATGGAAGTTGTGACAGGCAGGGGAAGATATGGAAGTATGATCTGGACTGGCCAGCCAAGGGGAATGAGGTTTAGACAGTTGTGTGCTATTCCTTTTTCTGGTCCTGTTCCCAGCCTTACAAATTTTGGGAACTTTAATACCTGGCCATCAGCCCTGAGGGTGCTGTTGCTGAATACCAGGTCAGTATCCCAGAAGACAGCTGTCATCCATGCTTTAATTCTGAGTGAAGGGGCTGACCTGGCTTGTATCACTGAGACCTGGCTGAGAGTGGAGGGAGGTGTCGACCTTTCCCAGTTGTGCCCAGCTGGGTTCTCAGTACAGCATCAGCCGCAGCTTAATGGTTGGGGGGGAGAGGTGGTAATTGTCTATCAAGATATTATCTCACTGGCTAGGGATGTGGTCCAACAAAGTGTCAGATTCGAGTGTCTGTACTTGATGTTGGGTGTCCGGGATAGGTTGGGTATGCTGCTTGTGTACTATCCACCTCGCTATATGGCAGATACTCTGCTCGAGCTGGCCATCGTGGTGTTGGACATGGCATTGAGGATGCCGAGGCTTTTGGTCTTGGGGGACTTTAATATCCACACTGAGGCTGGTCTGTCTGGTCCGGCCTGAGATTTTATGGATACCATGACCACACTAGAATTATCCCAAGAAATAACTGACCCAATACATGTTGCAGGTCATACACTCGATTTGGTTTTTTGGACTAAGGGTGATAGACTTCTTGGGATAAGGGTTGTGGCTACACTCCCTTTGTTATGGACTGATCACTACCTGGTCAAGTTTAGACTATCTGCTGACCTTCACCTCCACTGAGGCAGAGGACCAATTAAGATGATCCACCCTCAGAGGCTGATGGATCCGGAGGGTTTTCTGAGGTCCCTGAGGGATTGTTCAGCCATTATGGCAAATGGTCCTGTAGATACCCTAGTTGATACATGGAACACCAACAAACCCGGGCAGTTGATATGATTGCTCCTAAGTGCCCTCTTCAGACCAGTCAAGCCAGGTTTGCTCCCTGGTTTTCTGGGGAGCTGATGGGAGCAAAACAGTCTGTGTGATGGCTAGAACACCGCTGGAGGAGAACTAGAGCTGAGTCTGATCGACTGCGGTTAGAGGTGAACTGCGAGCTTACCCTGTGGCGGTGCTGACAGTGAAGAAAAGCTTCTTCTCCACCCATATCCCATCCGCACAATGCTGTCCAGCGGAATTGTTTTGAGTAGTGCGGGGCCTGTTGCAGTCTGGCTCTCATGATGAAATAGAGGAACTTTTGGCCTCCCACTGCGATCTGTTTGCAAAGCATTTTGCAAATAAGATCGCCCGCATCCTGTTGGATCTGTACTATGGTTGCTGTGTAAGTGGGGCACAGAATGTTTTGAGTGCACCACCCAGTCTTTTTTCTCTGGATCTATTTCAGCTACTGCAGATTGAGGATGTGGACAAGGTGCTTGGAGGAGTGTGACCAACCACATGCTCACTTGACCCCTGCCTTTCATGGCTTATTAAATCTAGCTGGGAAAGGATGACTGGCTGGGTCCAGGAGATTATTAATGTGTCTTTTAGATCTGGTATGGTTCCTGCTGCATTGAAAGAGGCAGTGATAAAACCGTTACTCAAGAAGACTTCCCTGGACCCACATGACTTAAACAACTATCGCCCAATTGCTAATATTCCCTTCTTGGGCAAGGTATTTGAGTGTGTGGTGGGGCTACAACTCCAAGATTTCTTGGAAGAAACAGACTACTTAGATCCATTTCAGTCTGGCTTTAGGCCTGGTTTTGAAACTGAAACAGCGTTGGTTGCCCTGGTAGATAATTTATGCCGGGAGATAAACAAGGGAAGTGCATCCCTGTTGATTCTTCTAGACCTCTCAGTGGCTTTTGATACCATTGACCATGATATCCTTCTGGGACGCCTGGCGGAGTTGGGTATTGGAGGCACTGTTTTGCAATGGTTCTGATTCTACCTGTCGGGATGCTTTCAGAAGGTGGAGCTAGGGGGTTGCTATTCGACTCATCTTTACCAGTCTAAGAGGCAGTGCCAGGGCCAAGCCCATCCCCAGTCCTTCCAGAGGCGCCCCTGCCGGACCTGCTCCTGAGGCCCCAGCCCACTGCTTTGACCACCATCCCTGCTGTCTCTGCTGATGTTCCATCAGCTCTCGTACCAACTGCTGTTGCTCTCTCTGTTGGCTGGTCATTTGTTGGAGCAACTGGGTCTGCTGTTGCTGCTGCTGTCGCTGGCTCTCAGCCAACCATTCCAGCAGCTTCCCCGTATCCATCTCTACCCTCCTTCCCTGTCTGCACCACTGCGGGTTTTTTTTTTCTTTTATACCTGTACCCACGAGGGTTTGAGGCATGCCCTTAGGCCCCCCCTTGCTCTGCCTCTGTCCTCCTTTGGTCACTTTTAAGTGTGTCCTGTCCCCCAGTCACTGCAAGTTCATGCTTGGTTGCAAGTAGCAGTCCGGGCTCTTTCGAGTCCTCCTCCCATCTGACTCCTTTGCCTCAGTCCTGGAAACTCCATCTCAGTCCTGTCTGCCCTTAGGAGTGGCCCTAGATGAGCTGCTGGCAACTGGCACCCTAGGAGAAACACGAGATTGGCATGCAGGAGGGGGCTTGAGGTAGCTCAGTTTCCTTCTATGTCCCTCAGGGTATGTCTACACTACCACCCTAGTTCGAACTAGGGTGGTTAAGGTAGTCATACGAACTTGCAAATGAAGCCCAGGATTTGAATTTCCCGGGCTTCATTTGCATGATGCCGGGCGCCGCCATTTTTAAATGTCTGCTAGTGCGGACTCCGTGCCCGCGGCTACACGTGGCACAAACTAGATAGTTTGGAATAGGAAGCCTAGTCCGAACTATCTGTACGCCTCGTTCCACAAAGTAGCAGAAATCCATTTTTCAGTAGAGGCCAAATCCTGTGAAATGTTGAATGCTGGTCCCAATTCAGCAAAGCAAATGCTGCCAAAGCAGCCATGCCATCATAGTTATGCAACTCCATTGGATCTGATTGCTCATTCTGTAAAGTGCCGAAACATCAGGTGAGTACCTCCACATTCAGTGCTAGTTGGGCAAGTTCAGACCATCTCTAGTTGCTACTCCTTTATTTTCAATTGATGTACCAAATAAATATTTCTAATGCAGACTTGCAAAGTGTGTTAAGAGGAGTTTTTTTGTTATCTGGGACATCTGAGGCATGGCAAATGAGAAGGCTGATTCTATTATAATCAATTTTAAAAAGCAGGAACACTACTCCCCTCGCTACAACGTAATTAACAGAATACTTTCTGAATTAGAAATGCCATCTCTTTCTTATGATAATGCAAATTTTTTTTGGAGAAGGTCAGAAGGATAGCATGAAGAAAAGAAATAAGACATAGCCATCAACCCAGTTTCAATATACTCTAAGGGTGTGTATAGTTTTGAAGACAAAACTATACCAGCGTCTACACTACCACTGAGTTCTGTCGACATAACGTCGACAGAACTCAGCAGTTTTGTCAACGCTGGTATACCTCATTTTACGAGGCATAACACCTTCTGGTCAACAGAAGGTGTTATTGCCTGTAGGGTTGCGTCTAGACTACAGGGTTCTGTCGACAAAGCAGCTTGCTTTGTCGACAGAACTCAATGTGTCTGGACGCTCTTTGTTGACAGAAGTTTTGTCGACAGATACTGTCGACAATACTTCTGTCGACAAAACGCGGTAGTCTAGATGTACCCTAAGGGTATGTCTATACTGCCACTGTAGTTCGAACTAGGGTGGCTAACGTAGGCATTCCAACTTGCAAATGAAGCCCGGGATTTAATTATCCGGGGCTTCATTTGCATGTTTCCGGGCGCCACCATTTTTAAATGCCCTGTAGTTTGAACTACCTGCCTGCGGCTACACACGGCACGGACTAGGTAGTTTGAATTAAAGCTCCTAATCTGAACTACCGTTATTCTTCCTGCAAGAGCTCATTGTTGAAGTTATTCAGTGACTTTGGAATATAAGAACATCTGTTGAGAATCACAGAGCCTGAGTAGAGGGGCTAAACTATTAGCATATGTTTTAAAATGGATTTTGTTTTACTCCTCAAGGCTATGTTCATGTTTTTGTGGAAATTCTGATCTTGATTTTACCCTTCAAGGTCCAGTGAAGTAACTAAGGGTGCATGTACATAACAGGGAACAGAACTGGAAGATCCAAGAGGTAACAGCTAAGCTGAGTGATATTTTTTTACAAAAATATTTTCATTAAACAATACAGGGGGGAAAAGTCTTCAGCAGCTCGCCTTTGCCAGAGCCTTTCCTCATAGGTGAAACCTTTCCCTGTACTGGGAAATGTTTCCAGCACCTGGAAGGCAGCAAATTATTACACAGCTAAAAATACAGTAGACCAGAAGACACAGTTTAGGCAAGTAGAGAGCATGCATTTAGGTACACTCCCAGAACCTTCATATGCTACACTTTGTAGATAAAAGTGTCCAGTATGTAGCCTTAGGCTATGTCTACACTACAGGGTTTTTTCAGAAAAAATGGCTGTTTTTCTGAAAAAAACTCACTTACGTCCACACTGCAATCGTGTTCTTTCGAAAAAAATCTAAAGAACAGAAGGGGTTTTCTGACATTGGTAAACCTCTTTCTATGAGAAAGACACCTTTTTCTGAAAGAGCTCTTGTATGGACAGGGAAGAGGAAGTTCTTTCAAAAGAATATGAAAGAGGAAAAAGCACAGGTGCCCTGGTTGCCACTCTGTCCATAGTAATCACAGCTGAAATGCAAAATAGTGTCCGTTAAGTGTGGAGTCTAGCTTTTGAAAAAGCAGATAATTTTTTCAATGTGCTTTTGCTGTATAGATGCTCTCTTTCAGAAGAAGTTTTTTCGGAAGATCTCTTCCAGAAAAGCTTTTTCCAAAAGAAGCCTGCAGTCTAGATGTTACCTTAGTCATGTGGTATTGGAAGGTGCTCAGAAAATAAGGTGATTAATGTGGCTTAAGAACCCATGTAATAAAATAGAATGGGAATAGTTATTGCTGAACTCAAGTTGAGTCAATTATGATGCAATTATTCACTTAAATTAATTGATTGGTTAATATTATGGCTGGTTCAAAACTGTGAATTCTTTTCCACTGAAAATTGTTGAATGAAACAATATTCATTTCACCTGAAATCTTCTTTGAAATTTTGGATTATTTTTTGATGCAACAGGTTGAAATGACACTTCATTTGGAATGCATTTGAAATGAAATTCTTCTGAGTCCAATAGAATTGAAACATACACATACTCAGATAGTTTGAGGGTGGGATTCATCCTTTCTCTCTGTAAAAGAATTTTGGCTTTCTTCATGCCCTTTTTTATATCACTTAACCACTGTTTCTTGGTTGCCCTGTACATAAAATAGGGATGATATTTCTTGCTAACCTACGTTTTTTAAAGATCATTTTTCTTTCAAAGGGAATTCGGTCCCTACATCTTCTATGAACCTTTAAAAATTCAACCTTAAACACTTTAGAGAAATATTACTAATGAGCAAGTGAAAATGTGACTGAAGATACTTCCTGTTCATTTCTCCTCATGTTTTTATCAGCGGCTTATTGAAAAATGTATTGAGTCCATTTCCCTCCTCTCCCCCCTTCCCCCCGTGTGTCCTTTCCTTATTCCCTATCAGATAAGTTGGGTTATTTTACTTATTTTATAATATGACTTAGAAAGACACAGTGTCATAAAGAAAATTGAATTATAAAATTGCATGAAAATAATATAAATTGTCTATGTTTAATGTATTAACCCAAGGAAATTTAAACTTAAGCCTCTCCTGACTAAAATGTATCTAGATATTGCAGTATATGTGGTATATATTATTACCACTAAAAGACAGGATCATATTAGTTTCAGTATATTGCATGAGGGGAGAGTTAAAGCTGGAACATCAGCTTTATCTTTCAAAGTTCTTACTTTCAAGGTTAAGTCAGATACAAGTGCCGCAAGTGCTAACACACATTTTGTACTTGATACTATTTAAACTAATAGACATTTTAAAAGGAAACCATCAGAAGCAGGAAGCCTGCCAAATGATCTTGGGATGAGCAGGATACTCACGGCGCACTCCAGGAAGAGAAGGCAGTTGTGGAGAAGCTAAATTAATTCTTTGCATCTGCTTTCACTGCAGAAAATGAGGGAGATTCCCTAACCTGAGTCATTTTTAAAGTTGACAGTTCTGAGTAACTGTTAGAGCTGCCTATTTTGGTTGGACATATTCCTGGCGGTTTCATCACATGACATTATCTTTAATTAAAATTAATCTTTAGTGCCTGGATACTCCAGGATAGTCCTGGAAGGTAAGCAACCATCGGCTAGGTCTAGACTGCAGCGTTTTTGTGGAAAAAGCTATGCAAAATGCGCTCCACATTTTGCGTAACTTTTTCCACTTTTATTTTCAGAAGAGGCTTTTCTGCCATTTGGCCCTGTCTAGATGGGGCCAAATGGCAGAAAAGCCTCCTCTTTCAGGGGAGCCCTTATGCCTTGTGAAACGAGGTATTCAGGGCTTCCCAAAAGAGTGCGTTTGCTCTTCCACAAAAAAAAGCAGAAGAGCAAACACATTCCTTGGACACGGCTTGGTTTTTGTGGTATCCTGCAAAAACCCC